TGTATCGTTATGCAATATATGCAATGCTGATTATTTCCCAAAACAATGAAAATCTCCAAATTTAGGATAGAGGTAAAACTAAAATTGATGGCAAAATCACAATATATTTACAAAGCTTGTAAGATAATAAAACAATAAAAATTTCAGTTTTTTTTATTATTTGTTTAATTTCGTTTTTTTTCATATCATTCATTTAATTTTATTTTTTCTTTTCATATCATATATTTAATTCATTTTTCTTTTCATTTTTTTATTTTATTTTATTTTCCTGTTTTATTTCATTTTCCTAATTTTATTTTTTCATTTAATTTCATTTTTCTGTTTCATTCATTTTTCTATTTTCATTTTTTCATTTTATTTCATTTTCCTAATTTCATTTTATAGTTTCTTTTCATTTTTTTATTTTATTTAATTTTTCTAATTTCATTTTATAGTTTTTTTTTCGTTTGTTTAATTTCATTTTTTCGTCTCATCTTATTCACTTAATTTCGTTTTATAGTTTTATTTTAGTTTCTTAATTTAATTTTTTCATTTCATTTAATTTTTTAATTTTATTTTTTATTTTATTTAGTTTTCTTTTCATTTTATTTTTATTTATTCTTTTATTTTATTTTATTTTATTTTAAAAAAAATGATAAATTAAATTTTTTTTTAAAAAAAATTTAAAATAAAATTACCAGAATTTACAAAATAATATGAAAATATTTCTGAAAAAATTATATCATAGTAAAATTATATTTGTGTAATAAAATTAGTAATCATCTACTATAACGAATTATTTGTTATATATATTGAATAATTTATTATAGCGTTAACGAAGATTTTTATAATAAAATTTTGATCAGTTAGATCAGCAACTTCTTATATTGAGATATGACTGTAATGCTTTTTATTAATCTTTTTTATTTATTTATTATAATAATAATTTATTAAAAAATTGTAAAAAAAATATATATATATTGTTATTTTGTAATTTATTAAATAAAATAAAATGATTAATTACTAAATATACAAATTTAACCTAAACTAGGCTGAGCTAGCATTTTAATTATTGGCATAAAGTCTAGACTAGGTCAGGCTTCAAAATTTAAAATTATGTAGATCTCTATTAACAATAAAGTATTATAATTTAAATATTCTAATAATTAAAAGATAAATTAAACAAAATAATAAATAAAAAAAGAATAAAAAAAAAGTATATTAAAAAGACCTTTTATTTTGAAGCAAAATATTTTATATAATTAGATAATTACATAAAGAAAAATTCCTTTAGCTATAAATTATATTTCAGTAAGATTAAAATATATAAAATTTTTAAAAATTAATAATTAAAGCATTATATCTAATAGGAGAATGTAAATTTTAAAAAGCTTTTAATTAAGTTAATTTTTTTATAAAGAGGTATAATTTATTATTAAGAAGAAAAACTAAAATATCACAAAATTATTTTAGAATTTAAATGCAAAGTTAGAAAAATTTAAAAGAATTATCATATGATTAAGAATATAATATAATTTTAATTTAAATAATATTTTTAATATAGATAAAGCTTTAATTTAATTCAAATAATAGATAATATAATTATTGATAATAAAGAAGATAAAATAATACATATTTATACTACTGAAAATAATAAAAATTACTTTATTATAATTTTAACTTATTTAGTAGATAAAAAATCTTTATTTATTTATTTTATTTATTTAAATCATAAAATATAAATAAAATTCAATAATTTTATAGATAATACAAATATCTACCTATTTATATTTTTTAAAAAAACATTTTTTTTATAGTGAAATTATTCCAAAAAATATGATTTGTTAATTTTAAAAAAAATGAATAGATAACTTTAGATTTTATAAAAAGTTATATGATATAGGAAGTCTATACTCAATAATATAAATGTAACAAATAAAACTTTCAACTTTTTAAAAAATAAAATTTAGAAATAATAAATTGGTAATTTTATTTTTTAAGATAAGCTCTATTAAATTATCAATTAGTTTTTCAAAATAAGTTTTATATAAAAAATTATAAGCATTTAAAATTGGATAATTTTCATATGATTGTTTGAATTTGAAACATATATTATTAATTGAAATTTATGATAATTCGAATTGATATTATGATAATTAATTATAATGTCAGTCTGAATTATTATAATTTTAAATTGATATACAAAAAAAATGATCAATATCTCATTTTTCATTAGTTAATTACTAATCACGTGATATAAATTCACAAAAAATTTTGAACTATTGTTGAGTTAAGACTTCTGATACCATATTAACTTTTATTTAAAATTTATATATCTGTCAATTTATCAAAAGAATTTTATATAATATTATATAATTTATTTTAAGATTATTTAAATGAAAGTATTAAAGCTAAATTTAAATATATAATTTTTATTTAACTATTATTATTATAGAATTTATTAGTATATATCAGTTACTTAATATATCAATAAATAAACTTTTTAAAGATACAGTCTACCTTTAATATATTGAAATAACTATTCTGCACTTTAACTTTATTATAGTAAATTAGTAAAAAAATTTGAAGGATTTGATTGATTATTTTATTATAAAAAAAGAAAATTAATATATTTAATTAATTAAGTATTATATGATTTGTTATATCAAATTCACTATTCTAAGGGTAACTATAATATGCAAAAAGAATGATATGAATAGATCTATTGAGATAATACTAGTAAATATTAGCTAATAACTTTAAAAAAAAAATTAGTATTATAGGTAAAATATTTATAAAATGAAATTTTAGATTGACATATCTTTAATTTTTTTAAAAAATATTTTATTTTAAATATATTAAATGAATTAGAAAATGATATTATTTATAAAAATTAATAAATTACTTAAAATTTTAAATTAATTAGATGATGAAACTAAAATTTTTAAAAATTAAATAAATAAAATAAATTTTTATATGTCTTAATAATAAACAAAAAGTTTTATTTTTAATATTAAATTTAAATTTTATACGTTAGTAAATTTGTATATTAGTAAATATTGTATCATTTTGAAAATAAACATTAATTAACAAATAATATAATAAAATATATATGATAAATAAAAAAATCATCATAAATGAAACATATCACAAGGTGTTTATTTTTAAAATAGTATGATATTAATTTTTTAAAAAATACTTATCTTTAAAAATGTTTATTTTTAGATTTGCGAATTCATGAGCAAATTGATAAGGATTCTTATTTTCAAGAAATGCTTATTTTTATAATTTTATAGTAATTAATATTTTTTTATTATAAGATATATTAATTAAAATTATTATGATCTAATTTTAATATACAAATATTCAATATATTAATATATATTAAATTTAATATAATAAAAATAATAATTTTTTTTTATTATATAGTTATATAAATATTAGAATAATTTGGATATAAGATATTTTTTAAGATTTTTATATAAATATAAACACTTTATTATATTAAGTTTAATTTACTAATATTTAGGATTTTTATGAAAAAAATTTAAATTCTAATTATATAAAATAAATATAAGAATAGTTTTATTTTTAATTAAATATAATACAGAAACTATAATAAATAAAGTAAATAATAAAACAGTTAAAAATATAAATATTAAATAAAGTAAATTTATGTTTAAAAAATTAAAATAAGATATAGAAATATAATTGATAAATACGAATTAATATAATTTTGCTGATTAAAAAAATAATAAATAACTTTATACTAAAAATTAACTTTATTATACAAATATTAAAAAAAAATTAAAGTTTAATTAATTTGATATAAGCTTTTAATTCTAAATAAAAGAATATTAAAAATAAAGAAAATATAGAATTTTTAAATAAAAGTATAAAGTATATATTTTTAAAAAGATTTTTAAAACTATTATATATATATTAATTATAGTAATTATACTTGAAGATTCTAATGAATTTTTAGCATATAATATAAGATCTAAAACTTTTAATAAATCATAATCATTAAAAACTTATTATATAGAATACAAAAGGGTTTACCTCTATCCTAAATTTGGAGATTTTCATTGTTTTGGGAAATAATCAGCATTGCATATATTGCATAACGATACAAGAAAAAAAAAAAACCTGCTAAATTTAATATAAAATATTCATCCGGAAATTTGCTCTTTTTCCGCATATACGATGCAACCCGAAAACCCCAACCCCGATCCACAACTTCAAAAAGAAATTAATTCAGATTCAAATGAAGACTCTCCTAACGTTGCACCTTGTTCAACGTCCATTAGTGCCTCTTCTACAATTTCGACCGCAGCGTCATCAACATTAGCTCACATGGACGAGTCCAATGGTACTGGCGACAATGCGGAAAACCAAGACATTGGAAATATTGTTGAAAATCAAGAGGAAAGAGAAGCTGAGAAACAACTCGATAAATGGATTTCACCTAACAGCCCCCAAGAAGATTCTGAAGACGATGACACAAATTCTGAGGAAGTATTAATGACAGGAGTTGCACCTTCCCATGAACAAAAAATAATTGAAGTAAAAGAGCCTTTGTCACCTACATTAAAACGAAAACAACGTATGGATGAAATTTTACAGCATGAAGATGGAGAAAGTGAACTTGAAGACGAACAAATGACTGACATTGACCAAGAACCGGATCAAGAATCAGCTTCAGCACCAGTACCTGAAGGGTTATGTGTTGAATGTCGGGATCAGGTAATTATATATATCTATTCGTTATCCAGAAGTTTATATACTCACAAATTTTTTAAATTATGGTTGAATCGATATTAAGGAAGCCTCGTTCTTTTGCGAACAATGCAATGAAGATTTTTGTGAAGTATGTTTCTCCATGATTCATCGTACCGGAAGTCGACGGATCCATACATGCAAAACTCTGAAAAAAAATGTGAAAATGAATGGAACCGTTGCTGCTGCGACAAACACTTCTAATGGTGACATGGACATAGAGGTAGTATGAATGATTATTACACATTAATATTTAAAACTTTGAATAATATTTTGAACTTATTGTTTTGTTTATATTAGGAATCAACTCCCGAAGAGGATGAGCAGATAGATGGACCCAAATCTACTAATATCATTTCAAGTGGGAGTACGAGTTTTGGGGATTGGATTGAAGAGCGTGCAAGATACATTCCACTTCGTCTTACTATGGAGGAGCGCAAGCTTTTAAGATTGTAATTATCATTATTGTTATTATATGTATTGTGTTTTATTCATCTATCTTACAGGTGATAACTACATTTTTCAGATTAGAAGCTGCTCTTAACGTTTCAGGTTTGATTATTACTTATATACCATGGAGTTTTCTTTAATTGAACCTTCAACTAATTTAAACTCATTATTGAAATAGAATACACGGATAAGATTGATATCATAACATATTCAAGTAAAGCGCGTCGTATAGTACATCAGATCAAGGATTTATGTTCCATCTTATCTGGATTGGTGGTAAGTTTGCTTCGGTTAATTTTCTAAAACAAATAAAAATTTAACTAATTTTATTTTCGGGTTCATATCTTTTTAGGTTGCAAGGTATTACATGCTTATTAACAAATAAGTTCCCGTTTAATTATTATAACTCATGCTCTTTTGGTCATATTTAGTGATTACAAAAGGGGTCAAGAACTCATCGTTAATAAGTCTTTTGAAGAGAATGAAGAATTTTTCCAAAAAATATTTGAAATAGGAAGAAGGCATAAAATTATGAATCCGGAAAAAATGAGGGATGCATATGGCAAATTAATGTATATGTTAATGGTAAGAATAAAGACCATTATTAATTCTATGTATCTGGTGAAATTAATTTACTTTAATGAATTTATTTAGGATTCTGTCATTCCTGAAGTTAAAGACATGCTTGATTTTAGCTTAATAATTCCAATAAAGACAGTCTACAATTTCCTCGAAGAGCGTGATGGACTTAATGTACTACATCACGATTTAATAATGGATGCAACCAAGGAAATTATAGCAGGAGGAAAGTCACGATCGCAAATCAATCAAGAAATTCGAGCGAAAGAGAGGGCTATTGAAGTTATAAGTCGCAAATACAAAAATAATAAATTGGCACAGGAGGAAATTAGACAATGTTTATACAGCATTGGAGATAATCATGCGTATTTGAGAGCAAATCGGTATATATTATTTAATTTATGTCTATTTTTTTCAAAGCAATATTAATTATTTCTTTTTCCTTTTCACAGTGATTGCTGTGACCGTATGTTGCAATTTTTGCAAACGAACTTTAGCCCCAATAAAATTGAACAAGGATATTCTCTTGCTATTATCTCAGGACGTAATGGCGCACGTTTATCTCACAGTCACGAAACGCAATATTGTTATGCGTAAGTTTAAAGAACAAATGACAAGATAATGGCAACAAGTTTATTAATCATATATATATGTATAAATTTTTTTTTTTTAAAAAAAAAAAAAAATTAAAATATAGTAATCAAACGCTACAACTTTGGCGCGAAATTCAGCATGAAATGTTTAAGTTGTGGTCACTTGCTGATAAAGACTTATTATCGGAAGATAATCAATATAGACTGAGAGATACTGGGCAAGGCTTGAACAGAGTACAAATGTGTCCAGCGGTCTCAAAAGTCATGCATTCTATTTTACATCGTGCCCAACAAAAAGCTGGATATTGGGTTGGGAGTTCAGTTATTCATTTGGGAGATAAAAATGTTCCAAATGCATTAATGTTCATCGATAAAGTATGTTTTTTTCTTTTCATGTGATTTTATTTCTTTAAACTAATTTGTTTTTTTTATCGTAGTACAATCAAGTATCCCGGATTTTGAACCCAATATTAATATGCATAGATAATATAGCACCTGTAATCGCGAAAAATAGTGGATTACGTAATTATATTGAAAAGAGTTTTGGAAACGTCGAGGAGTTAAAGAAAAGTATATTTACAGATTTCTTCCGGTATGCTTTTGATGGAAGTGGAGCCGATAATTTTTTTGACGCTGGTAGCTGTATTGATGGACGATTAACAAGTGCATGGAATTGGTGCTCACTAATAGAAAAAAAGGCTTATTTCCCAGTGTTTTTGTTAACAGTATGTATTACCAATTTCTATAAAAAAAATATATTCCGGTATATTTTATTTAATATTTTATTTATATATCAAATTTTTTAGGGATTTGTTGGATTTGATGGTGATGGATTTTAAGAGTGATTTATGATTGCAAAATGTAAGAAAGGATTGATAATAAACATGTAACCGTATGCATAGAAACAAGATAATGTAAAAATTTTAAAATACTCGACTATTGTAATATTATTGTCTTAATTATCTACATGAATTAATCGATATCCACCGTCATAATGAGTTATCGTAAAAAATATTTTCGTTATAAAAATGGCATAGAATTGATAATTTATAAGTCAAATGCCGTTTCTAATGTAAGTAAATCAATAGGATTTTAAATTAAATATAGAGGAAGCTATATTTGAAAAAGGATGGACATTCAATTATAGCTCAATTGCCGTAAGGTATTTATTAATCGTATAAAATTTTTTACACAAAATTTGTGCAATTTATTTTTTCCATTCATAATTTTATTAAAAGCACATATTTTAGACTTTCACAAAAAAATTTTGTTTATCATATAAAATTCATCTTAGAGTGCCACAACAAATCATCATCCCTTGTTCTGTGTGTGTTAATCTTCAAACTTTTCACCCGATGAAAATTTAATGATTGTTTAACACTATTAATTGCTACTATATATATAATCTTTTTATTTACGTTAAAAAAGTTGGTTCAAGAAAACATAATAATAACTCAAATTAATGTCATCATTGTTCAAAGTCAAGAAACATAAATAAAATATCTTTCTATTATTGTTAAAATTCATTAAAATCGTTCATTTTTAAGGCCAAAAAAATAAAAAATGATACTTGAATCTTTAATAAGATCTACTTCCATATCTGTTACCACGACTCCTTGAGCGTGATCTGCTTCGATAATAACTAGACCTTTTCCTACCCCTAGAAAGAGATCTAGATCGACTACGATACGTTTTCCTTCTTTCTCTATCTCTATCTCCTTCTCTATCTCTATCTCTATCTCTGTCTCTGTCTCTGTCTCTGTCTCTATTTCTATTTTTATGCCTACCTCTACCATTTGACCTAGATCTAGATTTATATCGATCATCGTTTCCTGATCTTCTCTTATCTCTTGAACTTGATCGAGAAATTGATCTACTTTTACGCGATCTCCTATCTCGAGATGAAGAACGATCTCGTTTGTATGGTGAGCGAGATCGAGATGAACGTCGATGGGAAAGCTTATTCCAACGTTGTTGTCGTTCACTATACGTTGATAATGATTTGTTTTTATTGTCTTTATTATCATTTGCTTCTTTTGAATCTTCATTTCCAATGATATCATCCCATGTAGCCCAACTTCATATCAAGTTATTTAATATATATACATACATTAAGTGAAAAATTTTGGTTAATAAATTAAAAAAAAAAAGTTATGTATATTTACATATACGTTTATATACATATATATATAATTTTTTTTTTTAAAAAAAAAACAAATCAAATAAATAGTAAAATAATTCACCGATCGTCATCATCCCCTTCCTCCTCTTCTAGTTCATCTCCACTTTTATTACTTTCCAAAGCCGATTTTTCAGATTTAAAATCATCATTATCGCTATCATTGTTACTACAACCTCCACCCCTTAAAAAATTGTCCTTTCGTTTTCTTTTTCTACCAAATTCATCCCATTCATCATCTTTCTCTGCATCTCTCGATTTACGATATTCGACTACCTCATCACGTTCCATGAATCCACCACCACGTCCTTCTCTTGACCCTACAGAAGCTTCTAAACCTGGTTTTGGTGTTTTACATTGATTACATTCTGGACGTCGTGCCCAATTGATATTTGAACAACTAAAAAAAAAAAAAGTTTTTTAAGAATATTTATAATGTTAAATTAGAATTTAAAAGAGAAAAGTTATATATCAACTAAAGTAGGCTTACATGGGACATTTCCAGTCTTTTTCCGAGAATAAACCCTATAAAGTTACAAACAAATAAACTTACTTATTAAATTTTTAATATTTGTAAGCTAAACTATTTTTATTAACTTACTCCATAACGACTTGCAAAATCTCTGCCTACTTCGCTTGGGCCAGTACTACCACCACTTTCTTCTTGCCTTGACCTTCGATAACTACTTCCAACTCCACTAGAATACTCTCGGTCTTTATCGTACCGATTTCCTCCCATTTAAACTACAGAATTAAACGACTACCAATGATACCTATGCTATACAATAATTGCTTATATAAAAAAAGGCTTGTAACTACTGATAAAAAAAGTTGCCAAAAAATATAATTTAAAGAATTCTTATAAATATACAATATAATAAATACTTTTTGCTCATCGATCTGTGATAAATGTAACAACGTAGCATAATCAAAAAAAGGAAAAAAAAAAAAAAAAAGAATTAATATTTTATGAGGAGAGTGGGATTCGAACCCACGCCTCTTACGAGACCACGGCCTTAACGTGGCGCCTTAGACCGCTCGGCCATCTCCCCATGATTGGTTAAATGAAAGAAATTTTAAAATATTTGAAGATTTTAAAGTTTTTTTAAAAAATGTAGAACGAACAACTCGGTCCAATTTCTTATTCGATATAACAATTTCCATTTTATATATTTATTTCAAAGATAATAAATACGTGTTAAGATATGATATTTATCGTATTCTTAAGACCTTGTAATATGATCTCTTTTTTTTTCTTTTCGCTTTATTTTATTTTATTTTATTTTTTTTTTAAAAAAAAAAAAAAAAGAAAAAAAAAAAAAAATCGTAAATCCATGGTCCTTTTTTCTTTTTTCTTTTAATTATTATTATTATTATTATTATTATTTAAAATAATTAAACATTTCAAGAACTATTTACTAATATGACATGTTAATGAATAAAAAAAATAAATGAACACTTATTTGTGCCGAAGAAATGATTATAATATACATATATTATATATGTTAATTGTATGTATATATTTTCTTTTACATGACTACACATTTATTCCTTTGTTTTACGACCGGAGTAGGACAAAGAACAGCTCTGATGGCCTCGTCAAAAACGTTTTTTAATCCTTTTTGAGTAAGAGCAGAACATTCAAGGTATTTAACCGCTGAGATATCTTTGGCCATTTGAAGGCCTTGTGGATATGTAATTGGGGATTGTGATTTTTGTCGCAACTTAATGATGGTCTCCTTGTCCTCACGAAGATCGAGCTTAGTACCAACAAGGATAATTGGGATATTAGGGGCATGATGACCAATTTCGGGAAACCACTAAAGAATAAAAATATATATATATATATAAATAAAATTCCTTTATATATAAAAAGGATTTAATTTAGGAATTTAGCTTAAACGAATTTACCTTGCCCCGAACATTTTCAAAAGAAGGAGGACTGACCAAGGAAAAGCAAATCAAGAAGACGTCAGTTTGAGGGTATGAAAGTGGACGCAACCGATCATAATCTTCTTGGCCCGCTGTATCCCAAAGGCCAAGATTGATTGGTTTTCCATCGACCATTACATTAGCTGAATAATTATCAAATCTAAAAATGAAAAATAAAAAATGTTAAAATATTCTATTTTAATCAATAATAAACGTCAAGATGTTGACAATAATTATTACGTACACAGTTGGAATATATTCACCAGGGAAAGCATTTGTAGTGTAACTGATTAAAAGACACGTTTTTCCGACAGCACTAAATAAATAAAAAAAGAAAATATTTTAAATTAATATGAATATATGTATTCAGGTCTAGCTTTGTATTTGGTTATTCTGTCTAAAGACCCTCATGTAGTCGCACGTATTTGTTTCTTCTCTAGACGTTATATGCGTTTTCAGGAGAGATGGCGATGCGCAAGTAAAATTACAAAAAAATGCTCACCCATCACCAACCACAACACACTTGATGGCTTGCATCGTAAATTAAAAAAAAAGATTGTTTATTGTTGGTTTTAGGCAAAAGGAAAAAAAAAAAAAAGGAAGATTAGAAGAGAATAAATATTAATATTAAAAATTTTTATTAAAAAAATTGCTAATAAGACTTAGTATCCTTTGTAATTTTTAATAAAGAAGGAAAGAATGGTTGGTTGGTTTCTATGAGAACGAAACGTAATGAAACGAAGACACTGAAAGATTTTGCTGTAAAATGAATTTGTCTCAGATATAAAAAAGTGATACCCTTCGGAGACTGTAAAACGTCGATGTAAATAAAAACCTTTTTATATTAATCAGTTAATTTCCACCACAGCAGATCAATCAATTAACAACCGATCTTTAATTATTTATTGTGGAACTGTTGAGTAACAACCAACCTTTCCAACTGTACTGGTTCTTCTCCGTGTTACGAAATATTCAATGCTGCGGTAGATTTCATTCACTTTCAATCAGTCAACCAGTGATCGTCACATAATTAGTCCGGAGACAACTATGGTTCCGCTCGAAATTTGAGTCGATACGTGATTGGTCCCTTTTCTGAAACCGTTCCCAAGTTTTAATCAACCCTTTTTTTAAGTTTCATATATTAGATGGATTCTCAACTATCTGCTTCCTCAATAACAGAAGCAACTATAGGAAGATCGGAATCTCCGTCACAAGTTTTAACAACAGCATCAACCACCTTCGGGAAATCTATAGATTTTTCGGGATTTTTAACAAAAGAATTTAACGTCAAATCATGGATTAATGAAGCATTGTCCGTTGCTACCTCCTCTAGTTCTAATTCTATAGTAAAATCTCGAGAATCAGAATTATTAGAACTAGAAAAACATACTTCAACTCTTGTAGAAAAACTTCAATTTTTGAATCAAGAAGTTTCGAATAGATTAGAAAGAACCGTTGAAGATATCACTAAATCTATGCCAAGAATTATTACAGATTTACAAGTTATGCAAGATGATGCTACAAAATTAAAATCTGGAGTTTCCTTAGTGAAATCACAATTGAATAATGTGGAAGAAGATACAGGAAAAGCTTTAGATAGACTGAAGTATTTGGATCTAGTTAAGACGAGAATGGAAGCATCTAGAAATGTTTTGAAAGAGGCTGAAAATTGGAGTAATTTAGAACAGGAGGCAAGTAATATCTTTGCTTCACAAGATTATCAAAAAGCTAGTGTTAGATTAATGGAAGCTGAAAAAAGTTTAGTTATCTTTCAAAATACACCAGAATATGAGGAAAGAAGAAAATTATTAACGGAATTACAAAATCAATTAGAGGCAACGGTTAGCCCGCAGTTAGTCAATGCGTTAAATCAACATGATATTGGCGTATGTCATAAGTTTTATCAAATATTTAGTCAAATAGGAAGAAATAAAGACTTTTGTAACTATTATTATGGATCAAGAAAAGCTCCTCTTGTGAAAATGTGGCAATATGCTTTATTAACAGATATCCCCCCTTCAGTGTCTGGTAATGCAGAAAATCCTGTTGGAACCGGTGGATCAGATCCGTTTAATAACGAAACATCGCCAACGTCGCCTAAATCTCCAACAACTCCAAAACTACTACAACAAAAATTTCAACTGCAAGTTCCAAAGAAATTTGTAGAATTCTTGCAAGAATTTTATGATGAATTATTTATTATACTCAATCAAGAACATACTTGGTGTGGTAATGTATTTCCTGATACAAATGAAACTTTAATGTCTTTAATTGAAAATATTTTTAATTCTTTAAAGCCTCCTTTGAGTGCAAGATTAGCAGGTTTGGTTGAATTCTATAATGAGGATTGTCTTCCGGAAATTATAGATACTTGGGTTGTTAGTGAAAATTTTGGAAGACAAATGGAAAAGGTATTGTTTAATCCTATACAAATTAGCTCTGGAATGAGTTCAAGTGCGAATGGAAGTGTTGGCGGAAAAAGAAATAATGCGAGTTCGTTGACAGATGCGTCTATTAGTGGGAAGTCCCTATCTAGAGCGAATTTAATTACTTGGGGAAATGTAGTGTTTGAGCCATTTTCCGAGTATCAACATGATTATTCAGAATACGAAAAAAATTATTTAATTATGCTACTCAATAACACCATCACAGAGAAGAGAAAAGTCGAATCATTAGATTTAGCAAAAGTCATGTCTGAGACTATTGGGGAGATATTTATGATGGCTGAATCTGGATTAAATAGGTGTATGACACTTACGTATGGATTTGGTGGAATTGGATTAATTGAAGTATTGAATTTTTTCTTTACCACTTTTATAAAAGAGTATCAGATACTTCTTGACCAGCTTAGATTGGATAGTGGTTTGGATGGAAGTTTTGGTGGGAGAGGTGTTTTATCTGGAACATCAGCTGTGAATAAGGGTGGAGATAATTCAAATAATGATTATTTTGATTTTGATCAAGATAAATTACAGCAAGAAGATTGGTCGAATTTTCATATTGGATTAAAATTATTAGCAACTTGTAGAACTACCTCAGAACGATTAAGTGTATTCGAAGAAAAAGTAAAGAATAATTTAGCAACAGTTAAAGATTTAATAGTACACGATTCTCTTAATGAAGATTTGGAATGGTATGAGAGAAGATCCTCTGTAACATCTTCACTGGAAGGCCAAATTAAAAGATCTACTTTCACAGGAACACAGTCATCACTACTACTTCTTCGTCAATCTCCTTTAAATTCTTATCATTTGAATGAACTTTTAACTAATATCGAGACCAAACAAATTTTATCGCCTTCAGTTAATGCTGTAGATATATTTATCAGGTCATGTCAAAGATATATATTTGATACAATATTTTTTCCTATAGCAAGACATCTTACCAATTTACCAAATATGGAAATTTGGAATAGCGTTGTTGAAAAAGTTCAAACTTCACCCTTTAATTTACAAATACCAACTTTTAGTTTACAACCCAGTGAATATATTACAAGGATTGGGGAACATTTGTTGACTTTACCACAACAATTTGAAGTTTATGCCGATGATAAAAGCTTAGAATTTTCAATTAAATCATTGCCTTATAGCGATGAAAAACCTATTCAGGAGAAAGAGATATATGATTTAATAGAAGATAAAAAGAAAGGTTCAACTGTTAAAGAAAAAGGAAATCCTGAGGAAATAGAAACAACATCAATTACAATAGTAGGTGAATCTAGCACTATAAAAGAAGAAGGTTCTATGTTACAATCTGAAGATGAAGAAATTTCTACAGAAGAAATTACGCATGCATGGATTACTTCTTTGGCACGTGGTACAATGCATGCAATATGCGAGAAGGTTCTCATGATACCACAACTATCAACACATGGCACACAACAATTATTAACTGATTTAGGTTATTTAACTAATGTTTTATCTACTCTTGATATTCCACCTATTAGAGAATTACATAAAATTGTTAAAGTATTGGAAATGGATGAAGATCAAATTTTTAGAATGTTAAGATATAAAGGAACAAGTGTAAAAGAAGAGAATGCAAATAATATAAATAAAGAATTTATTAATACAAATGATAGAGAAATTTTAACTAATATAGCTAGTATTAAAGGAATAAAAATGTTAAATTTATAAAAGTTAAGAATTAATATTTAATAAAAATTTTTTTATTATAATATAAAATTAATAAATAAAATTATTGTATATAACAAATATAATAATAATAAATTTTTTTTTAATTATTAAAAATTTATTTAATAAAATTAAAAAATTAAAGTTAAATTTATAAATTAAAAAAATTTTATATTTTATATTTTATTTAGAAATATATAATATAGTCAAACCTCTCTAAATGAATTCTTTATAAATACATACTTTCTTTAAATGCACATAATATTCTGATCTTAAGCTTAGGATTTAGATGCTAAATGCATCCTTTAAGTTCTGTATATATAAGAAGTTTTTAGTTATTTTATATGATAATCCTATTCTTTAAATGTATATAATATGACTATTTCTATAAATAACTTAAACAAAAAGATGATATTAAATATTTTAAGTCAATGAATACCTTAAAAAAATTTATTAAACTATTCTAGAAAAAATTTTTAATAATAAAATGATATACAGTGGCAATCAAAAGTATTGCATCATTCAAATATAAAATTTAAAATGAAAATATCTTGTAATTTAAAAGGCGTAATATTACAAAACTTAAATATAGAGTTCATCATATCTTAATCTTTATCAATCTCTTTCAGCTTTTTTTTAAGAATGTTTTTTTTTTGTTATGAATCTTTCGCCAAAGTGGCGATGCATTTCTTTTGATCGATTTAAGAAATAAATATCAACAC